AATGTCCCTTTTTATTCGTAATCACAAACTTCCTGTGACACGTGATATAGCGGGATAATGACATCATCGCGAATGGAACGAACGCGGGGGNGGGGGGGGGGGGGGGGAAGAGGAGAGCGAAGGAGAAAGCGAGGAAATTGCGGCAAATTCGGCGGACCCAATTCCATTCGTGAATGCAAATATCCGTCTCATTCGTACAGCAACAATGCAGATACAAATAAAATTTTTCCGCCTATCGTGCAACACCGTTCGTCGAACAGCCAACTGACGAAAACAGATGCGCGTTGCAACAGATGCACATATTCGATCCGCGCGCGCGTCGGGACGACAAAAAAAATATCGCGGAAGTTTTGAGGAAAAAGCAAACTACAGTGATCGATTCTCTCTCTCTCTCTCTCTTTCTCTCTGTCGCCAAACAAAATTCCTCATGCATCCGCGCAGCAGCAATGGAGAAGAGAATCGAATTTTTTCGTCAAATTTTCGGGCTGATTAGCGAAAACACGCGCGTTGCGTCGTGTGTGATCTGATTCACGCGATCACCGGATACAGATGCAAGGAACAAACTGATCGCCGGGAAAACCGCCGGTATTCTTAATTGAAGCCGTGAGAGGATGGGGAGGATCGCGAGCGAGACTCGCAAATCTGATGCCGGGCGGACCGCCGATATCCGTCTGGTGATGTTGGCAATTAGCGTAACGCAATTTCGCCGCGAGCGCGCGCGCTCTTCGATCGCGCGCCACTCGCGATCGCGGGTATACTCTCTCCGTGTAAGCTGTAATCGAATCGCGCGTTGCACCCCGTCCAGGGAATCAACGCTATAAACTAATGCCGGCCGCGCCGGAGACGACCAATGCGATTATCCCCGGCTCTGTAACCGGAAGGCGAGAGCCGTCGAGAATCCGATTAAAGTGCTCTAAGCGTGATCTGCCGGGAACAGGTGTCTTCGAGCGCGATGATTTATAAATGACGACGAAAACGGGAGGGCGAATGAGCCGGGGGGAGTGGGGGGGGGGCGTGTGCGGCTATTATTTGGCGATCGAAGCGGCTTACGCGATATCCGATCCCCCGGAGTAATTGATATGATCCCGAAGGAACCGGGTATCGCGAGAACGATTTAAACAGCTTGCGAACACTCCGAATCCGCTTATGGCGGCCGATACAGGCGTAAAACTTTAAACGCAAGAATGCGGTATAGAAAAGCAAGTAAATTTGCGCGCGAAAGCAAGCCCCGGGTAATCCAATTCGCGAACGCGTTCGCTTACCGCGCTTAAATTGAAAGTCCCCCGCTATGTATATACCGCCATAATCCACGCTGTAGCTTCTTACTTCGCTTACATTCAATCCCGTATAGAAATTTTCCAAGATTTCCCCCATATAATTCGGACCAGAACCACCATTGTCCTGGGTAGAGATTTCACAATTTAGAATTCACCGTTATTTCGGGAAATCTGCATCCCGGTTTGATTCCAAGAGATTTTCCGTGCGGAATATTGCGTGTAATGCACTTACGCACGCATAAAACCTATTAAATAGGCAAATCGAACGTTTTACATAACGCGTCGCGCATGTGATATCGGCAACGGACGTGATAAAATATGTCTTATCAGGATGGATATCTCATTTTACGCTACCGGCGAATTTCACGAAGGCGCGTCGCATAACCACATTGTCTCATCATCATCGCAATGATTTCCCGTGAGAGATAAAAATCAAAACAGCATGCAGGATCCGATATTACGTAGCGTGCATATCCGAGGGCACCGGTTCGCAGCTGCCGGAGTCGTTGTAAAGACGATTGCGCGACACGAATAATCTCAAGTGTAGAGAGAGAGAGAGAGAAAGAGAGAGAGAGAGAGAGAGAGAAGAAGAAGAGCAACGCTGAGAACGGACTGTCGTTCCGGCGCGGATATTCGGCTATGATACAAGATTACACGAGCTCCTGCAGGGAGCAGCGCGAGATATCGAAGTCGAATCGTCGACTTCGGCAATGCGCAATGACCCAGATTTTCGCACTTCCAATGCACGAGGAGGGGGAGGGAGGGAGTGTCGCTCAAAGTTGGGGAAAATCGCCAGAGCGACAGGAAGCGACAGAATTCGAGGCATTACGTCGCCGGCTTCGTTTGTGAGCTTCACGATCGAGACGATGTCAAAGCGCGATGCGCACCTGCGATACGTGAGGAGAAAATAGCGACGTGCAGTGTCATCCGTACATTTCTCGAGAGCGTGCACCAGGGTGTTTCCCGAACACACGTCGTCGTGTAGTACTTGCCTCCCTCTCTCTCTCTCTCTCTCTCTCTCTGGCGTAATGGTCGCCCGCGCCCAAGTTTTCGCGTGTGTCCCTCGCTCGTCGCTTTTTCGCAGGATTTACATGTTGTTACGTTCACACTTTCATTGCGCTATCTTTGCCCTCGCAATCCACCTCGTCGCCACCGTCGCACGGAGGTGCGCGCTCTTCCCGGGCGAAATTGAAATTTCCACAGTGCGGATATAAACGCGCGTAGCTTCTGCCGGCGGGCGCCTTCCGTTTGCATATATTTCTAGTATAAAGCTGACGAGCGCTTTCAACTTGGCCGCATTTCCTAACACGGTAATTTTATTAATATCGTCTCCGGCATTCTCCCGCCGCAGTTGTTGCAGACAGAGCGTAAATTCGGCGATGATCGCTCGGTTTTCACAGCCGCAAAGTCGAAGAATCCGGGGGGCGACGGTTAATTAAGAATAAAGCGGAAACGGGGTCGTCGCGTTTCCATCGGATATGGAGAAAAAGGGGCCGTTCGATAAACCACAGCCGAAATCAAATCTTAATTGCGGTGAAATGGTGTGTAATGGCGTGAAATATTGCCCAGAAAAAGATGCTGACTCTTATTACGGCCGAGCGAGCTCCGTACCTTTTAATCTGAAGCCTCCCGCGCACCTGCAGGGAAATGCTGACCCGACAGTTCCACTGCCAATCTGTTACGGTCGCGAGAGAGTATTTTCGTGTGCGCTTTTTTCATCCTCCTTCGCGCGTTTTCCTCACCGCCGCCACCTAACATCGCTGTTTCCTGGCACGGCGACTCGAATGTTCATCCGCGCGAGTTTCCTTTTTTTTTTCCTTTTTATTTCCTTTTTCGTCGTCGTCACCTCCCGCGCGACGCTTGTTCTTATCCTCGTTTCATCTGCGGCCCCGTTCCACTATTTTTATCGTGCGGCGCGCGTTGCTCGCGTGTGTGGAAACTCGTAGATGACTTTTACAGGTCGTGAGTCTTAAGGATTTCGGATTCGAGGAGAAAAAGCTCCTCGAAGAATGGAAGACGCAACTCGTTTCGCACTGTACGTACGCGCCGCTGTTTTCCGTTACGATAAATCTTTCGAGCGCCGTGTCGCCCTGCGACAAAAAACGTGCCCGAGTAAATTAGACATAGAGGGATAAAAACTGAACTCCCAATTCCCGCGCGGCATTGCATTTCCAAGGGGAGGAAAGGAGACGGGAAATCCGCGCGTTGTCTTCGCTCGCGGAATTTTCGCAGAGGCAACGGCGGGACCCGGGCTCGTTGCCAATTAAGCGCGGGCGGACTCGTTAGCGGGAACGAGTCGCGGTTTTATTTTAATCTCAAACAATGGTCAAGATCTTCGACAGGCAACGCGCGCGAAAGCTCGCTGACGCTGTGTTTTATTTCGCGCGACACACCGCACCACCGTCGCCCCGCTTGTCTCGCTTTTACACGGACGTTGGTTAGTATCCTTATTTATTCGCCCGTCATAATTATGACGCCCCCGTCGTGTTTAATGGTACGAATTTCCCCGGGTGAAATGTCGCGTCTGCACGGTGCGTCGCTGCGAAAATTCATCCCCGCAGCGAATATGCGGATGGTAATATCCGCGTGCTCCGCTTCACGCATTAATTCGAAAATCACGGATGACCGATCACGCAACGCGCGAATTCGTGACGTAACGGCTGCGCCGGTTTTATAGCGAAACCACGAGAATGAAATCAGTGTTATTATTCAGCCGCATCGACAGTCTGAATAAAGATTGATATAAACGTGTAGCATTTTTATAAACGCAACACACGCGTGGCCGGATAAAGCGACGCTTGTTCGACTCACGGTTAATCCGAGCGATTGCACTTTTCCCTCTACGATACTGCACTGCCGAGACTTTCGTCATTTTCGTGACAACTCCAAAGTACCCGTCGAGAAGAGCCCGTTCAAACCGCTCTCCGTCCCGAGTCAATTTATTCGTGAAACATTCGGACGCGTTAAAATAGCTGAGTAGAATGTCGGATTTTCAATGATGCTATTTAAGAGTCTCCACATAAGTTTGTTATTTACTAAAAAAATTAATACTTTTCTATAGCTATGACTTTATTTCATTATCCAAGTAATAAGTGTTAATGAGCTAGTAGAGGTGCATACATGATAGAAAGTGATATATAGATATTTTAATATGTATATATATATACATATATCGGTGGGTATTACTATAAATTGTAAATTCCCTGTGTCGTTTTCAAAACGAAATGGTCAATTATTCTAAAATTTCGGTGCAAATCTCTATATTAGTTCTTAACGTCGCTTTTGATTGAAGCCCTAAGTATGGTTTAGAAGAACTTAAAAATAGAAGTTAAAAAAGGAGGTTGACGTAAATTGCGAATATCTCAGCTTCCGAATGGTTAATCGTTTTCTAATTGCGGCATCATATTTAAATATACATTGATTTTCTTTTTTGTAGACGCGTATCCGCGCGAATGCGCGGTGAACGTTAAACGATGAATAAAAAGTCCGATCGTGGCGTTTAACGGTTTCCCTGCCGACCGTCGCGTCGATCTCTCTCGTCGAAAACTCGCCCCGGTGTTCGCTTTCATCCGCGCATCTCTCAATTACTCCGATTGTCCTTACTATAAACATGGCTTCGTGGAGAAGGCGCGCGATGCGCGCGGCAGGGCCGTAGCGTTTCGTGGTGAACGCGGAACGGCGCAGGCGCTGAGTTCAGGAGCGGTCGTCAGTCGTCGGCGGAAGCTGAAACGCGCGGCTTCGGGGTTGCCGCGACACGGTGACGTAGCCTACGGCGTAACAGCACCGACGCAGGTGTATACATTTTGCGCGCGCCAATTACCGGAGGAGGACGGGCTCTCGTGACGACTCCCGGCCGCGCGACCGAAACGATATAACGGGCAGGATAATGCCGAGACGCGGATGAATGTTTTCTAATCGCGCAGTGTCCTACATAAAGACTGAATACCGGAGTTGGAGGATTAAACTCGTAGACCCGCTTGGGCGGATGAGGAGCGCCACGTACTGAGGTGAGCGTCCCCGTTCGTTTCGTTTCGCGCGCGCGTGATTGCATCGTGCAGAGCGTCTCAAAGTGAAACGAAATCTCAATTTAGTGGAAGAATTCGCGGATGGAAAAAGGGAACGGAGGAGCTCCGGGGATATTATCTGTACCGAGAGTCTTTGCACCCGATAGCACGAGGAGCTCGAGATTGCGAAAGCTCGAGACGAATCAGCCAATCGATTTGGCGAGTCGCGTGACTTGACAATATCAATTTATTAACGTCATTCTTCGGTATAAGCGCGCCGCTTGTGTATCGAACTTCTCGATTGAAACTGCAAATATTCGATTGACTTGAACGAATCTGTTATCGAGGAGAAATTAGCTCAGTAACGCATACCTCGCAGTTTTCTCTGTGATAAAAGAGAGAAAAGATGCGGAATTGAAAGTATAAAATTCAATTTTCCCCGACGTTTCTCCCGTTCTTTTTTGAGATATTTTTGCATCGCACAGCCGGCAGCGTCGTATTTAATATTTTTGTCAAATATACCGCCTATAGCCAACGGCGCCTGTTCGCGCGCTCTGCACGTGATAACCTACCGTATTTGTATACGTAACACTGATGTGTACGACCAGATAGAAATGGTGAAACACAACGAGGATCGCGACGATACGGAACGAGAATGTAGAGCATGGTTATCAATATACGATAATCGACGGCTATGACATTTTATTTAATGAACCTGGCAATATTAATTCCCTCCCACCCCAAACACGCATAAATTCGTCGCTTTTCTGACGATAAGCTACGGACCTTCGATGTCACTCGATAAATTCATTAGGATCGATAAACACGATGGAGTAAATTTGTTCGTGCAAAAGTTACGACAGAAACGGTACAGCGAAATAATATTTTTTTATGAGATCCCTCCGTGCGATACGCTCGATAAATATATTAAATCTTATTTATCTATTTCACGTTACACACTTTTAGGACAGAAAATTGACAGAGATTAAAGATTTATTTAACAACGTGACGTTTTTCATCGCAAGCTCCAATTTCGCCGCGAGATCTAGTTCCGTCGTCATAAATTGAAACTTTGTGGCATCGTAGGAAATATTGTCAAAGATCGCCATTTAGATAAAGATCGTAATATTGAGCTTTGCCTGCTGCATTGTGTCGCCGCGAGTGTCGAGCGTATCTGGAATCTAATCAGCTCGGTCGATTTCCTGGTGTATGAATTGCGGTAACGGCGACTACTGCCCGCCGTGAAATACGTCTGACTATAGTCGCGGAGCAACTACTGTACGCGCTTCGGCATCTCTAGATAAATTCTCATTTCTCAAGTTTACTTCTATCAGCGAAATTCGCAAATCCGAGCATTCCTACCGTTCCGCATACAGTTCCACGTGTGAAACGTAACTATAATATATAGTTATAATGAAATGAATGCGAAATTCCGTCAATTTATCGGGCAGAATTTAATTACGGTATCAAGACATCGTTCCCGTATTACGTGTTTACTCAACAATATATAATTTTATATGAAAACAAAACTCGTTTACATGAAGAAGTTCTAGAATATAATATTTTTCCTGTCATTATAACAGAATTTCTTCATATAAACAAGTTTTATTTTCATGTAAAATTATATATATTTTTCATATAAACATATATATATTTGAGAATATGAGTTTTGAAACTAATTTTTTGTATGTATATTTTGTATATTATATGTTCTCAAAAGTTACGTAAATTATATTATACATTTTTGAAAGAGATTATATATACACATAATTCAGATGATATATTTAGGTTATACATTTACAACTAATATCTTCATTAATGTTAATTTCACGTGACACAAAATTTGTGTATTAATGAAATTACAATATCAGTTAGAGTGAAAATTAGGACAATCCGCTGTTGATTGTATTAATAACTAGAGATACAATAACGCAATAAGGTATTTGATGACTGCCTCAATTATCCGTACAGTTGCAATATTAACAATGCAATTATTAGTCATCGATTCTATTAACTGTATGATTAGAATAACTGCAATGCAGATGAGATAATTAATGATCCTCGTCAGTCTCGCTTGTAATATTGTCGAAATATCATAACAATCTCTCTTGATAGATTAACGTCCATCGTGATTACATTAAGAGGTCCGTAAGAAGATTACTTCAAGGCGCAACAAGCTCTTAAAAGGAACAGAAGCTTTTAATGGATTAATTTCCGACTCGTAATTAGTTACAACGCTGCGACTTGCGTATATACTGGTTTTCCACGTATATCTGTTTTATTCGCCGTGCACTTCGCACTCGCTCGTTGTGACACTGTGTGACGCTGTGATTGCATGCTAATGCAAACTTTATAACCGGCCACCGGAAATTACAGAAACACGGCGACATATTCGATCGTTTCATTCGCGATATTTACGCCTGCGAGAGAAATTACACGTCATATAAAATTACAGCAGTTCGCCGGAACTGTGATATAAACAGATCGCATCAATCTTCTTCCAAATCAGCGCGTAACAAACGTCGCGATCTAGCTGCGCTGTCGCGAATTCGGGGGATCAAGTTAGCTTACGCGCAATCTCAAGGACATTAGTCACGGACGAGACATTAAAAAGAACTTACATCGTCGAGAAGCTCGATTTTTATGGGGAGACGAATGCCCGTTTCTTCTTTGCTTTCAAAGGACGCTTAGCATCGTCGCGTCGATATGTGCCAAACCGGTGAAAAATGAAGCGCCGAGTGCGTATCTATCGGAAGAAAAAGAGCTAGAATACTTGTTGTCGAAGACATTGAGATTTTGCAATTCGTTCTATACATAGATATAAATTAAATCTATCCTAATGTAAAGAGGACATCTAAATAACTTGGAAGCGTAAATATGGGGACTTTACAAAAAAATTGAGAAAAAAATAACCGTAGAAAAAATGGAGATGCGTATAGACGTTGGTATTATATTTATATTTAATATTATAAGCAAAAATAATTATGATCGTTAATCGCTTCACGTGCGTTACATTTATTTTAATCACGCCATTAGCAATATCGATAATTGCAGCGTTAATATCGCGACTACTGCAAATAATTCATGCTGCCATCACGTACTTTATGAATTATTATATATATATCTCCACGTGTTATTAGAATTATTATTAGAATTAACTATGACGGATCGGTTCTATTTGTTCGAACCAAAATCGTAATTTCATTAGTCGACCGATTTTGTGTCACGTAAAATTAGTACCAATAGGAGAGAACGTTACTTATAACTATATAATTATAGTCACGAGGAACAAATATATATATGTGTTTTTGGCGTATTGCAAAAATAACATTATACGGTCCGCGATGTATTTTGATAATCAGAAGAGGATATTTAAAGACATACATTTTGTGCCATTTTAACCAGATTTCGTTTGCCAATTTCTGACAACGAATTGACTATTAATGGTACGAATTTAAATAGAGTTTATAAAATTGTAATTGACGTTGAAGTACTCGGAGACGGAGAATTCTAGAAAGGCACTGTGTGCTCCGCGCAGGAGAACCTCACCTTCCTTGCAGAAGGTGTTGGATTTTCTATATTCCGCTGCATAAAGAAGCAGCCGTGACACATTATTCGCCCTAGTCTAGTCGTTCAATTTAATAACGTCCGTCTGACACCCCTATAAGTAGCCGGATTTCTATTCTATAGTTGCAGGAGCTCGAAGAAAGTAAAGTTCACCGGCGAACTTTCGCGGCGAACGCCTCGCTCGTCTTTTCATTAATCCGCTGATACTATATAATGTTCGAAGACTGTAACGTGCCCCCGGGATATATTACCGAACTGTGAACCGTCAACGTGACGGGTTCTTAATTGTACCGTTGATAGCAGAATACTCGGAGAATTCTACAAAAACATAATCCTCGTTCATTAGCACATCGTAGCTCAGGAAAGTGAAATACCTTTTTCTTCGTCGTAACATCCTCTATGCTTTTAATTAAGCTTCTCGCGAAAAGTTTCGCGAAGAGGATTGTAAATTTTTTACGTAGAATGTAAAATGTGGAACACTTTCCGTTCGGTATTATTTGAGACGTATTTTGAAAGAGGAAGCGTAATCCCTGCCTCCTCTAATACTCTCTAATACCATGTGGAACTTTACGTGCGACTAATTCCTCCTCGCGCCATTAATTCATGAATCTGTCAAAACACAATTCCAGTATCTGTAACTGACTGGGGTGCATAATTGTTTGAATATACATATATATATATGTATATATTCGCCAATAACAAATATAATTTATTAACAAAGCAAATCCTTCTGTCGTTCTTCCCGCATTTCTGTCGACGCGTGCAGATTATCTCCCTCTTGCGTAACGCAAGGTCAGCGACCTCGGTCAACCTGGCGGAAAAGCTTTAAACACCCGGGGAAGATGGCCGGACGGCGGCAAAACACGCGGCGTGGTCACGCGATTCCGCAGATCTTCGCACAACTTCTTCTTTTTTCCACTGAATCGGCCGCGCGACGGAGAGCCAAAAGGGATGAGGCGAAAGGGCGCAGCTGGTACCCAGGGGCGAGGAGAATTTGAATAAAACCTGCGGCGAATAGGGCTTTGCCTTATCCCCCCCCCAACCACCTCCATTCCCCCTCCCTTCGATTCACCCCGTCGCGCGCGCCGGAAAGAAATGCAAGTTCCACGGTGGGAACTCGTAAAAAGCCGCTCGCGCGGTCGGACCCCGCCGCAGTCTCTCGACATCCCGACATCTGCGGACCGAATGGTCGATCCTCTCTACCCTCTTTTTCCTCCCGTTTCTCGCTTTTATCCCCCGGCCCAGCGAACTCGGCAGCCCCGGCTATTTGCGAAACGGTCGCGATTTGCGGGCTCCCCTCAACCGTCGTCCTCGACGCGCCACTCGCTCGGCAGCGTTCGTGCGCGCGAAGATACTTTCCTCTCATGGAATATTCTATTTGTCCTCGCATCGCCCGGTATCATCCGTAATCGTTAGAACCGTTTCACCGCCGGCGT